ATGGATTCCCTAGTGAGCAATGGGAGGTGAATCTGCCGGCTGAGGAAGTGCCCCCCGAACTCCCTGAGCCTGCTCTGGGCATCAACTTTGCTAGAGACGGGATGCAAGAAAAAGACTGGCTATCACTAGTTGCTGTCCACAGTGATACTTGGCTGCTTGCTGTTGCCTTCTATTTTGGTGCTAGATTTAGATTCGACAAAGCTGACAGGTAGACTTTTAAATAATACTTTTGTTTTCTACTTCTTTCACAATTTACCTTTTAAGCCCTTATTACTGTGTGTTTCCATGCACACTTACACATGGTGATAAAGAAGAATGATAATAATACCATATATCACAAAAACTATAGTGTGTGGATTTATCTTCAAGAGTGAATGTAGTTTGTAAAAAAAAACAGTTGGTAACTAGGAAAAAGGCGTTCTCCCTTGAGTTTTTTGTATGGCTATGTTTTTTTGTTATGGTTGGGGATGTTTGTTGGTTTTGGATAGATATGTATATTAAAACCAACTATTATAGATGAATATGATTCGTACCATTGTTTTTCCTGGGACAAGGATTGTAAATGAATGTGAAGCGAAGCGAATACTCACAAGTCACAACTCAATTTGGATTTGTGAAAATATTTGACTTTTTCATAGTCTATTCGTTGTCGAACTTAATTTGTGATTCATCTTCGATTCGATTTAGATAATTGAATATATCCAACTCGATTCGAAATTTATTTTCAGAAGTTATTTATATATTTTAAATATATATTTTTGAATATATTTTTATTTTTAAATATAAATGTATACAGAAATATTTTGTAGTTATATTTAATGTATTTTTTAAATATAAATATATTATATATATACTTAATATATAACATGTAAATAAAATTTTATATGTTATATAATATTTTAATTTATTATTATTATTAAATTTAATATAAATTTTATTAATGAACTGAGTACTCGATTATTTAATCAAATGTGTGCATATTCAGATTCGTATAAATTTCGAATACAAAAAACTATTCTTGTTTGAATTCGAATTTGAATTTTACGAATATTAATCACGAATAGAATCGGAAAAGTTTGATGTGTTTACAACCATACCTGTGACTTGATTGACACCTTTTTCTTGTGAGTGACCTTTGCCCTTGGTGCAGGAAGCGATTATTCAACATGATCAATGATCTCCCTACTGTGTTTGAAGTCGTGACTGGTGCAGCCAAGAAACAGCAGAAAGAGAAATCTTCCGTCTCAAATCATAGTAGCAGCAAGTCCAAGTCGAACACTAAATCGGTATGGAAAACGGGTCATCAGCTGGCTTATATAATTTTTAGTGTAAATCTTTTCCCCATTTATTTATAGTAGAGGGGAAATGCTACGGTCCCGTTACGGAATCATCCCGTCGAGAGCTTTAACCGTTAGATCATCTATCTTATACTAACTACATGTGTATCCAACGGTTAAAACTCCCGACGGGATTGTTCCGTAACGGGACCATAGCATTTCCCATTAGTAGAATAACTTCCGATTAACAGTTTATCTAATATCTAACCTATACAAATTACAAAGTAGTATTTTCAGATGCCACATATTCTTTATTCTTTTAAAAGACAACCTTAAAGTAAAAAAATGATTTATCATAACAAATACTGAATTTTATGTTTGAAAGAAAAAGCTCTTGGGATTTGTCAAAATTATTAAAAAACTAGAGATTTTGGGAAAAAAAAAAAA